AACAAGAATTTAACAAGAATTTAACAAGAATTTAACAAGAATTTAACAAGAATTTAACAAGAATTTAACAAGAATTTAACAAGAATTTAACAAGAATTTAACAAGAATTTAACAAGAATTTAACAAGAATTTAACAAGAATTTAACAAGAATTTAACAAGAATTTAACAAGAATTTAACAAGAATTTAACAAGAATTTAACAAGAATTTAACAAGAATTTAACAAGAATTTAACAAGAATTTAACAAGAATTTAACAAGAATTTAACAAGAATTTAACAAGAATTTAACAAGAATTTAACAAGAATTTAACAAGAATTTAACAAGAATTTAACAAGAATTTAACAAGAATTTAACAAGAATTTAACAAGAATTTAACAAGAATTTAACAAGAATTTAATAAGAATTTACAAGAATTTAACAAAAATTTAACAACAATTTAACAAGAATTCAACAAGAATTTAACAAGAATTTAACAAGAATTTAACAAGAATTTAACAAGAATTTAACAAGAATTTAACAAGAATTTAACAAAAATTTAACAACAATTCAACAAGAATTCAACAAGAATTCAACAAGAATTCAACAAGAATTCAACAAGAATTCAACAAGAATTCAACAAGAATTCAATAAGAATTCAACAAGAATTCAACAAGAATTCAACAAGAATTCAACAAGAATTCAACAAGAATTCAACAAGAATTCAACAAGAATTCAACAAGAATTCAACAAGAATTCAACAAGAATTCGACAAGAATTCAACAAGAATTTACCAAGAATTTAACAATAATTTATCAAAAATATAACAATAATTTAACAATAATTTAATTTAACAATAATTTAACAATAATTTAACAATAATTTAACAATAATTTAACAATAATTTAACAATAATTTAACAATAATTTAACAATAATTTAACAATAATTTAACAATAATTTAACAATAATTTAACAATAATTTAACAATAATTTAACAATAATTTAACAATAATTTAACAATAATTTAACAATAATTTAACAATAATTTAACAATAATTTAACAATAATTTAACAATAATTTAACAATAATTTAACAATAATTTAACAATAATTTAACAATAATTTAACAATAATTTAACAATAATTTAACAATAATTTAACAATAATTTAACAATAATTTAACAATAATTTAACAATAATTTAACAATAATTTAACAATAATTTAACAATAATTTAACAATAATTTAACAATAATTTAACAATAATTTAACAATAATTTAACAATAATTTAACAATAATTTAACAATAATTTAACAATAATTTAACAATAATTTAACAATAATTTAACAATAATTTAACAATAATTTAACAATAATTTAACAATAATTTAACAATAATTTAACAATAATTTAACAATAATTTAACAATAATTTAACAATAATTTAACAATAATTTAACAATAATTTAACAATAATTTAACAATAATTTAACAATAATTTAACAATAATTTAACAATAATTTAACAATAATTTAACAATAATTTAACAATAATTTAACAATAATTTAACAATAATTTAACAATAATTTAACAATAATTTAACAATAATTTACCAATAATTTACCAATAATTTAACAATAATTTAACAATAATTTAACAATAATTTAACAATAATTTAATAATAATTTAACAATAATTTAACAATAATATAAAAATAATTTAACAATAATTTAACAATAATTTAACAATAATTTAACAATAATTTAACAATAATTTAACAAAAATTTAACAATAATTTAACAATAATTTAACAATAATTTAACAATAATTTAACAATAATTTAACAATAATTTAACAATAATGTAACAATAATTTAACAAGATTTTAATAGAATTTTAATTGGAATGTAACCATAAAATGAATGATTTACCAAGACGTACGTGTTTTTTTATTTCTGCCGTCACGGTCGCGTTAGTTACTTACAGTAATTTAAAAGGAATTTAACCATAAAATGAATGATTTACGGAGACGAACGTATTTTTACTTACTATTTTAGTGAAGTACGGTCAAATTTTGAACATACCACGTTAAGTGAAGAAAATAGATCACTTGTCCTCAATGTGTTGAAGTACTTTACCAATGAGAAAGAAAAAACTGAAATGTTACCATTCTCATATATGCACATAAACAAATTGCAGATGCTTTAAAAATCAGTATTCTCAATTTCACACGTATGAAAAGTGAAAACAGGAAGGAAACAGCTAGTAATAACGCCAGGCCAAACGCAAATTAAAGACTAAATATACAACTGCCACTGTAAAAGGAGTATGTTTCAATTAAGCCGAGACACCAAATAAAAAAATATATATATATAGAATTGAATACCAAGTTCGTTTTACAAGCGGTGGAACGACGGCGACAATAGATTCACTAAATCATGTGATTGGACATGCACATGGAACTATATTTTAGCCAATTTCAGAAGCTTGGACATCAGCCAATACTTGGCATTAGAAAAAAATCCACAGAAGTAACAGAAGGCGTTCTACAGATACCTCCTTGTTGTACGTCTTGTAAGGTTGTACTAACGTTAAGACATACCAGCCAATGGTCTGTTGCTAATGGCGATGTAAAATAACTTAAAGAAGCCGTGATGTATAATCTGACATGAATAACCTGCCTAACCGAGAAATAACTCGATGACCAAGGTATGGAGAATAATCCAACAATGACCAAGGCCATTATTATCAAAATATCACGAAGAAGGGAAGAGATTTTCTTTCAGATGGAGGACACCATCTAGATAAAAATAATTAGGCTTATAGCATTAAAAAGATCTGCAGAGAAACCAAATGCCAGGTTTTTGCCCTATCTAAGAGGACTTGGAAACAACACTGAAAGTATTCCTTAAAGAATAATGGCGTCAGTAATACTATGCGCTTGCCAGGTCCATAAAATAAACAAATAAAGAAATACTTCCGCATTTAGCCAGCGTGCATAGGACCTGCTCCGATAAAGCAATCCGCGTGATTGCGGCTACTTCATCCATGGACCTCATCATATTGGAAAAGAAGAAACTGAAAACAAGGACTTAAAGAAGGAGATAATGAGGCAACTACAAGAAAATTGGAAAATAGGTGGTCGGCCAACAAAAGGTTTTTAAAATTATTAGTTATAACTCAGAAAGAGTGACAGTAAAGAATGCTTTAATTACTGAACACTGGAAGATGAATCTTTTCCCTACAAAACCCAAGAAGCAATATTTAAAAGAATATATTTATTTTATGGACTGACGTATTAAAAAAGGCATAAACACATTTGTTAGAAAGAGTCCTACTAGCTTACTTTGAAATGAAATCCAAACTGTGGAAGTCTTCAACCTTTGGTCGGATTATTTAAAATTAAAGACAATTCTACATTAGATTAAATTAGGACTGTGGGCCATCTGTCCTCCCCCACCTCGACCTTTTCAGATCTATTGTGGATAAGAGCACTCTAATGGCAAACAACGATGATGATAACAGCAAATACTCTATATTCATTGCGTTTTTAAAAAATTAATGAACTGGATATAAATCCAAGAAATCTCTAGAGGAGAGCTACAAGATTTTTCAAAAATTTTAGTGAAAACAAGCATTGTTTTAAAAGTTTGCAATTCTACTAACAAAACAACGACTGATTTAGAAAATCATCTAAATTCTTAAAACTTTATAAATGTTGCCAAATCAAATACTAGTAGTAATGTAAGCTCTTCTTCACTTCAAATTAATAATGGTTACAATTGTACTTTTAATATTAATATTATAAAATAACAATTAATAAAGGCTTTATCGAATTTATCTAAATCTACGGACGTAAAAAAAGTATGGCATGAAACTCGTGAGTAAAGCAACTTTACTTATTCATTGCATAAATAACTAATATTTTCCTCCAAACTAGATACAATTTTCTTATAATTATCAAAGACACTAACTTACATAGTAAAAATAAAGATATACATATAGAATTATAATAATTATATGTACCTACATAGAGCAGTTCAAATAAGAGAAAAACGTCAAATAAAATAGGTAATAGACAAAGCAAAAAAGAGATGAATAGCCATTTCCAATGCTTTTTATACCTTTTTGCATACCGCTCGTATCCGCCAGGAATTAAAATATTACAGTTCTACCAATATTTATAACAGATTTTCCCACAATCATCATGGAAGCTCCTCATCTTTAAATAATCAATCGACATTATGAATTAAAAATAAAAAGCATTTGTTCACAGAAGATATTCATTAAAATTAACAGCCAATGAATGCTTGAAAACGATATTTTATATAAACCCGAGGACGTTGACCATAAAAAATATTGCGTGTTACTTAGGTAATGCGATTATCTTGGTTTTCTATAATAAATTTTCAAATAAGCATCCACTATATCTGTTTTGAATTTATTGAACGGATAAGTCGTAAAATGAACGGCAATTACGTTCGCTTAACTATGAAAAATAATAAAAGTAGAAATTAAAATTGACATTTCATGTTAAATTCTCATGGAAAAGGAAAATATTAAAGGCAGTATCATATTAATAACAATGCATTATTTCTCAATAGAATATAAAGAAATAAAATATTCACAAAGATGGAAAACAAATAAATAATAAAAAGAAATTATCATAAACTGGACTAATTGAAGACCTTAGAGCAACAGCGGTACATGCCACATAGACGTATTTTCGCGAAAATTAATTTTAAAGTTTTTAAGCAAATCCCGAAATAAATATAAAAAAAACATCAAAGTTCGCTAATTTGCATTCCTAGGCTTTTAAAAAATGATAATGCTAAGAATTTAAAAAAATACATAATTTTTTGTAAATAAATGTTAAAAAAAAACATGTGGCTTGTACCGATTTTACATTAAAGTTTAATTAGCCAATTTTTACAGCAAAAATATTTCTTGTAAATAATAAGAGTCTTGTAGTGCTAAAAAAAATGTATATTATAAATCAAAATTTACAAAAATAAACTAGTTCGTTAATCCGTGTCTATGTCGCTAAAGTCGTCGAAATGCTCAGTCTCGTCACCTATGACCGCGGTGATATTTACATTAGCTTCAGCTACAGCACCATCAGCTTCAGTAATACCAATTTCTCTATAGTAATCATGATAAATAGGTGGTATGTATTTTAAGAGCTCTGACAGGTTGGCTATCTTTTTTGGATTAAGTGGAACTGGACCATTATACTTAGGTTTTAAATCGCGCAGTGTAAGGTTATCTGATATTCTTGCGCCTATCTTACCAATATTGACCGATTTAAAATCTTCATTTCAATATTACTTCACAAACATTACATTCGGAGTATTTTGCTCAAACCTAATTGCACAAAATTTACTAAAATTTAGCTTCTTTCTCGTCAGTTAAAGATTTTTTGTTGTTGTAAGTTTTTAAACATTAGTATGTCGCGCTGTTTCAGGACGATAACTTTTAAGGGGTTAACCCTTCTAGCTTTTTCAACGGCTCTATACCAGTCCTCGGGAACATAAACTTGTTTTAAATAGTGCTGCTTATACTTTTCTACCGAAGCAAAATCGCGGTCTGATGGAAGATGCGTATGTCCAACGACCAGAAACCTGTGCTGAAAAATATTTTCTTTGTCTATTTGCTGCCACAAACATACAGTTGTCCAGTTTTTATTCTGGCCGGCGCAGTTGTCGCTATATGCTATTAGTTTTTTTATAGTTTTTGGGATTCTTCTTAAAATATTTATAAAGAATGCTGCTGATTTCGTCGCTGTCACGTTTTGCCAAGTTTTCGGGCCACATGTACATGTATCCGACATCTTCCACGCAATCATGTACACCCAGATTATATATCCATGCTTTTCTCAAATAGAAAGCAGGACCAACTGATAAATTGGGAACAGACAATGCTTGTTGCAAATCGAAGCTTACAAGTGTATCTTTGTTCCGTTTCGCACTTTCAATTGCGTTTAAAAAGTCGCATGTTTGACACGTGTCGGTTTTAGGCAGTTTAAAATCTATGTTAAATTTAATGCAAAAAACCTTTCTGTAATAGCTTTGTTTTACAGATTTTAAACCTTTACTCTTGCACCAATCCAAATAATTATCTTGGTAAGGCCTAGTAATGCATAATATCGTGATCTATGTAAACTTTGTTTGGATTTTTTTGCTTACTGTAATGACTGGTGTATTTAGGAATGTAGTCAATATGCAACACAACATTTTTTGATGCTTTCCACGACCATCATTTCTTGGAACAGTGGCGCCTATGGCCATCTGCTCATATAGCAACTGGACCCTTTTTTTGAATTTTGTAACCCGTGAACGGAAAGAAATGCCTGTTTGCATACTTGCACGTCGACGCTATTTACTTTTACAAAATACTGTATGAAGACATTGCGAGAAGATACTTCCTTTTTTGTTCTCTTCGGGTAAGCTCGTTTTTTCGCAATAGACTTCATTTGGGAAAACAGATAAATATTTTGTTTTTCGTAATTACCCAGATTCCAAAAAACGTTAAATATTTGAATTTCTGGTCCCATGAATTGCTCTTGACATTTACGTCTACATTTGCATGGAGGTCCAATTTCACGGTCACGTACATCTTTTTGTCGCTTACATACCTACATATTCATGGCCAAAATTTCGCTTAATTTTTCTTTTGTTTCTTGCATGCCTTTCAGGATTTGATATGCGCCATCTTGAAGGGGTCCTTTTCTCTGGCGTAACAAGAATATCTCGTTTATTTAAAATTTTGTGCAAACCATTTTCTGTTAAATCGTTTTCGGGCATATCGTTCTCGGGTAAATCAGCTTCAGGTTCCGCTGTGTGTGATGATTGTTGTTCCTAAAATGTAAAAAATTTCCACTAAACATAAAAATAATACTTTAATCTGAAACATGAAAGTATCAACAGCCCGAAATACTCGTATAAATAGGCATTATTTAAATTAAATAAAAAAACTTTTTGAAAAAATGAGCTCCTTTACTGTTTATTTTAACTCAAACACGAAAAAATCTTAGGAATCAACATTGAAATTAGTGCGAAAAGCCACAAATATGCTTGTAATAATAAAAATAAAACAAAATTACAATTTATTATATTTTGCTTTAAAATACTTTAAGTTAAACAAAAGGTAAATAATGTCATTTGACGTTAAGAACTTCTGAGAAGAATGTTAAAAAAGAAATATTAAAAAAATATATATGCCACTCGTGCTTGTGGTAATAAGGGGATAAGCCACAATAATAATTATAATTAACCTACCTGTCCTTCATCACTTCAGGATGTTTCACTCTCCACATAATCTCTATCCTTAACCCTCGGTCACCCGCGTTCAATTTCGAAACAAGAGTACCCGCGCGGTGTCTGAGAGACGCCATTCAATTAAATCATAAGAATGGAATGAAAATATATGCTAAAAGGTTGTATTTAAATAATTAACATACTACTCATATATATTTTAATGTTTAAGTTCAAATTCGCAAATAAAAATTTCTTTGTTACAGCAGTAAAATAAATATCTAATAAATATAACATCATTTACATTTTTAAACATATGAACAAAATAATATAAATTTATAAAATACATAGATAACTTCTTAACATAAATAGAATAATATAACAAAAATAAAAAAAAACAAAGCCCTAAACGCGATAATACATATTTCATTCGAAATTACATGAGTGGTATATATATTCTGTATGCTTGAGGCACATATAATTATTGAATTGCCTGAACTTGTATTTGTTCATGCGATTTTTTTTCTACTACACATATCTAGTACACGTATTAAAGAAAGTACATGAAAGGAGAAGTCAGCATCTCACTATTTTTAAAAGTTATGTGCATTGTTAAAAAGAGTGGCGTCTATCAGACGCCACGCGGGTATAGGAGGGTTAATACTATCATCCGAATCGAAATCTACCTCAGAATCTCCATCAGAATCTTCATAAACGAATTGTTTTTGCCGAGAAGACGAAGGACGTGTTGTCGTCATGATGTAAACAATGTGGCTTGTACCGTTTTTGCAGTAAAAAAACACATTTTCATTGTTAAAGCAACAACGATCCTATAGTTCTGTGCCGCCATCTGTTGTCAGATAGCTTAAATTTTTATTTGAGCAGTAAATTCGGCCTAGCAGATGCCTGTGGTGCAGATATCGGGATTTTGATGAAAGTGTGGCTTGTACCGTTGTTGCTCTAATCTTCAATTACATACGCAACCAAGCAACTATGACTTAGTGACCAGGACCCTACATCAGGAGAGTTTTAGGGGTACAAATGATCTAATAATCTACCAGACACAGATATTGATAGATTTTTAAATGTACGTAACATTTTACAATTATTAGTCTTCTTACAAATACTAGAAATACCGCCAACGTAAACATGATATTCGTCTCTAGTGACGAAAGTACGTACAATTTTAAATATTTGTTTAAACAGTATAATTAACCAATCTTTAAAACGCATATATGCAATATTTAAATAATAAATTTAATTTGGAATGAGCCACGAAATATATATTTTGAATTCAAAATAATAAAGCATTGGTGCACATTAATTTCACTTTCCTATAACGTTTTCCAAAATAAGTTACTATTACCAACCAACCTAACTGTTATATTCATCACTCATAAAACAAAATACTATTTTATTATTACTATTAAATACACGATTAAAATATTGTCTAAAAATATAAAACAATATTTTCTAAGTTAGAAATATAAATATAAACCTAGCACTAGTACCACAAATGAGTAAAGTTGTTAAACATTTTAAAACTCATATTTGCGAGTTTTTACTTTCAATCCCCCTAGCCATAGTTCTGGCAGCGATACTAGTATTTTCAATTATTGCCTTTCAATATAAATATATTACTAAAACTTTTACACATTCTTTTCTCAGTTGTTTTTCCTCACTTTCATAATTACAAAATGTCATTGAGCAAAAGTTAGAAATACTTAATGTTTCAAAGTATTTTCGTCGTCATTATTAATTCACCTTGTCGTATTATTTTTTTTTTATTTTAGAGGCTTTCATCCTTAAAGGTAAATATTTATTAGTTTTACTAACAAATTTATGAATAATAATAAGGTAAACTAGAATGAAGAAATATTGGCACCGTGCGTGACAGCAGCTCCAACAAACTTATGAACTAACGGACGACTTTTTCGTATACTGTTAATACAAGTTTTAATAAATATCATAATTAAAAAATGTATATATTGGTTTAACTAAAAGTAAATGGATTTGAAATACAAATAAAAAAATTATTAAATTATTAATATACATTTTTTTCGCTTCAACTAAAAAAAGTAAGTATAATCAATAAAAATCAATAACTAAACCCAGATAGGCAACAGTTTTTACAATAAAATGTATCAGAAGTTGCCTTAGCCTTATAAATTGTCATAGGTTATATAAGATAAAAATAAAAAATTACCATTAAATAATAACGTCGTGGAATCAAAATATATAACCGAAACAAAAATAATTGGCATATTTGCGATTGTAATTTTTATTTTCTTTATTTTTAGTTTGAAAGAAAACATAGAATTAATGATTAAAACTAGTTTTCTATCAAAAAGTCACAAAATTGCATTCCAGCCAGACAGATACTATAATCAAAGGCAGAAATTTAGTCCTTGCTTAACATTTAGGATTTAAGTGATCTGTATCTGTAACGTGTGGAGGGTGGTTTAACCCATGGCACTCAGGCCTCACTAAGCCCACTGTGCATCCTCCTAAATAGATACGTACCTCCTAGCTCGTGAGCCAGCCTACAGATTTAATGTAGTTCACAACGTCGCTAAGAGGTGCTTTTCTTACATTGGCCGGTGTTGTCAGTCCAATAGAAGGGCCAGGTCCAAAAAGTATTTGGTTGGCTGCCTTCTTATCAAGTAAATCAGCAAAATGATTACCTTTCGATGTGGATTGTGACCTTTTATCCATCGTAAGTTGACCATATTGTTGATGGATACTTCGGTCAAAGCTTCATGACATTCTAGTACTAACCTTGAATAAATTAATGGTCTGTACATGGTGAGTAGTGCTTGTCTGCTATCTGTATAAATGATCATGTTCCTTCCAGTGACATTATTTCTGGTAATTGCTTTTGCTGCTATGAGAATCCCTGTGAGCTCGGTTTGAACTACACTGACACTAGTGCTCACAGCCCATTTTATGTTTAGGATTAAGGATCTGGAGTATATTCCACATCCTGAGCCTTGTTTTGATTTAGAACCGTCGGTGTAGATATGAATCGTACCTATGTCTTCCGGCTCTTCTATTTGTTCTATTATAATTTTATATGGCTTATGGAAGATATATCTAGGTGAGATGGAGTCAATGATCTCTTAAAGCAGTGGGAGCGTATCGAGCGCTTCCTGCCAAAAGTGACATCTCGCCTTATCAAATCCCAGATCCTACATCAGGTTCTATTCCAACTACAAGGAGGCGTGTCATTGTCATCAGAGCAACCACTTTGATGTAAATATCAAGGGGAGTGAGACTAAGAATGACTTCCATGGCTCTGGTCGATGTGGTTTTCATGGCTCCTGTTATGTTGATACATGCTGTTCTCTGAATTTGTTCTAGTTTACGGAGAGCTGTAAATTTTTGGGTTTTCAGTACCCAGACAACTGCACCATATGTTAGCATAGGTCTTGTGATAGCCGTATAAGTCTATGCGACGACTCTGAGGGAGAATCCCCAGATCCGCCCCACGGTTCGGCGACATTGCTCATAAACAATGTATGCTCTTTTTACCCCTGTTTTCTAAGTGTGAGTTCCTTGTTAGCTTACTGTCAAAGGTGACACCTAGGTACTTCATCTCTGTTGCAAAGTTTATCTTTGTGTTTATGAAGTTTTAATTCCATTTTCATCCTTTTTCTTGTAAAAGGATCATTTCTTCTTAGGACTGATAGACAGTGAATGGTACTTGCAACATTGTTCTATAATTTTGAGAGCTACTTGCATTCTTTCGCAGAGTATGTTCTCAAAATTCCCTGTTTGCAGAATGACCAGGTCACCTGCATACTCTTATTATGTAGTAGATGTGATTATTGAGGCGGCTGGTGACGGTGTCGAGGACCATATTCCACAGTAGATTTTATAGCACCTCTCCCTGTGAACATCTCGCAACCAAGCCTCTTACAATCACATCTTTTACACTTATATTTACAGCTCGCTTTGGGAGCATATTGTGTATGTTGAAGAGCATCGTAAAAAAGTTTATTTAAAACTTTTGTACTTTCTGATATCTACTATTTCCAGTACAATGTTTTTTCTACAATTTACAACACATCAACTCCGGTTACACATTTTATTGTTTTTACCTATTTTTTCCGCAGTTTGCGCTCGTATCGCTTTTGCTTCCCCTACTAGACTTTGCATTGAGCAAATACATATAATACTTGGATTCTATATTATACTCTTTACAGTTTAGCACATACCACTTAACCTCCCATTTTTAATTAATTTCATTACCTTATTGTGCTGGATTTTTTCGGAAGATTTCAAGTTGATATCATTTCTTGTTTCTGAATTAGCATTTTTTTTTTTTTTTAATATTTTAACCCCCCCCCCCCCCCTTTAATCTTCCCATTTTTAGACATTTTTTTTTCAGAATCAATAGACTTCATTGCCTCATAAAGTTTGATTTTTACTAAAAATGTCAGAGCATGAATAAAAATTTTAATTTGTTAATATTTTGAGTTAAGATTGTTTTTTAATATTTCAACCCCCCTTAATCACCCTATTTTTATTCAGATTTTTTCAAAATTAATAGGCTTCGTCCTCTTATAAGGCTTGATTTTTCTGAAAATTTCGGGTTGATATAA